CTACAGATCTGCTGTTAATGAATCAACAGGCCAGACACCAGCCAGAGTCCTATTCGGACGCGAGATGCGACTACCTTGTGATCTAGAGTTTGGGTGTCGACCTGGAGAAGATGTAGCAGGTGAAGATTATGTGATCGAATTACGAAGAAGAATGGACGATGTACACGAGTTGGTCCGTTCCCATCTCCAAATCGCTAGTGACCGAATGAAGAAACGGTACGATACACAAGCCGAAAAGGGGTGTTTTAAGAAGAACGATAAAGTCTGGCTTTATAACCCCAAAAAGCGAAAAGGTTGTTCTCCCAAATTGCAGCAGTTTTGGGAAGGTCCATACCTCATTATGGAGAAGATCAATGATGTTATTTACCGAATAAGCAAGATTCCGAGGGGAAAGCCGATGATAGTACACCATAACCGGCTGGCGTCTTTCGAAGGTGACCACGACGTAGATGAAGAAGTGGAAGTAAACCAAGTCCAAGATGTGTCTGACCTCACGTTTGAGGAATTCATGGGTGCCTATGGAGGTACCGGTAAAGCAAGACATGGTGTTACCACTGAAGAAAGGCAAGATCTACTCGCGCTTCCCGATGACTACTCACTGGCCCTTACCATCCCGGCCAGTATCAAAGACGCACCAGGGTTGGCATCCGTCTTTCGAAGGAAGTTCGGTCGAGTTGCAGAACTTCAATGCCAAGTGCCAGCTCCTGGTAAAACCTTGAAACTTCAAGATGCATCACGTTACCTTTTCTACCTGGTAACAAAAGACACTGCCCGTGACCAACCTACCTACCGAGATGTATGGGAAGCCTTACTTCAGTTGAGAGAGCACGTACTAGAGTCCGACGTGCAAAAGTTAGCCATGCCAAAGTTGGAGTGCCGCCAATTAGATTGGAGGGTTATACGAAATATGGTGGAGGAGATCTTTAAAGACACCGAAGTCCAGGTGTTAGTCTGTTGCAATCCGCATAGTTACTGGTGCGGAGAGAAAACCGTCCCTTGTCATTTCTATACAACTGGAAGTTGTAAAAGAGGGTCCAGTTGCCGATATCAGCATGTCGTTCCAGTTCCAGTCCCGACAAGGTTCCAGGAGGAACCATCTTTTAAGAGGGGGGCAATGTTACGATTTTAAATGTTATGGCATATAGAACTGTAAATATTTTATGACTAATTCTTTTATTGATTCTCGTAATTTCTAGGTCAAAAATCTACCTGAATCGAATGTTCTGGGGGCGACAAGCCGATAAAAAAACATGTTTTGAGACCAGTCGCCGCTGTGTCTACATCGAGAACAGCATGGTATGTTCTACACCTTTCTGTTTACCGGCTTGGAATTATATAAATAAGGGAATACTTTCATTGAGGAGCCAGTCATAAGAAGATCGGGAAACGCGATTTACTTGTAACGAAACGTAAATAAATTATTTGTAAATTAGGATTAATAAAGACTTTAATAAATTCGTAATTAGTTATCGTGAGTTTTAATAAATTAGAATATAGACAATAAATTAGAATAAAGACAAATAAATTAGAACTATATAAAACTAACACTAGGTATCTGATTGCCTGATCTAGTACAATAAATCTACTCGGTTTTCTGTGCATTTATCTTCGATCAGAGACTCTGTGGACCTATCAATAATGTCTATGTCATCTGCATATCCCACCACTTGTACAGACTTATTAAAGGTGGTGCCATTCGTATTAATATGGCACTCTCGAATTACTTTTTCTAGTACAAGGTTAAATAAGAGACACGACAGTCCATCTCCCTGTTTCAGTCGATTTTTACCATGGAAGGGTCTTGAAAAGTTGTTTTGGATTCTGACTGCACTCTCTACGCCTGTGAGTGTAAGTTCCGTTAGTTGAACAAGATAAAGCAGAATTTTTACATACTTTATAATATACAATAAAAGTAAATTTAGCGGAGACGCGAAGAAGATTACTTTTTAACAAAGAAAGACTTCTTTTTATTTTGATTGTTATAAGAAACTTCAAAACAAACAACCTACTTCGACTTACCAATATTTAATTAAGCAGTTGATTTATTATATTCAAAAACTATAATTTTATTATGTAATACATATTAGATCACCTTGATCTTCGAACACTATCAATACACCAATTTACCATCAATTAATTATGATAGTATCTAACTACGACAAACTCTGAAATTAGACACGAATTCCGCATAAACCATAAACACTCGTATTCAGATATAAATACTCATAACCCTTCAACCCTTTCGGCACAACATAAATTACCAGCATAACGTAGAATGGTACATAAATTAGCAGAAATTCCAATTTAAAAATGAGGTGAAATGAAATAAATAAAATACATTTAATACTGTTACATTCCAAGATATAGCATACATTAAAAATCTATAAATATATAGTCATGATTAACGTCAGTATCTTAACAGAAAACTATTATTCATAATAAAACTCGATAAAGAAAAAATAATATTTTCTTTCTAAGTTATATCAGTAGTTTCACTTCTATAATTTCATCTAGTTGGCAGTATTTTATATATTTTCTACAGTTTGTCAGTCAGGTACGTCTATTCGCTATAGCCAATTCCGACAGGGGCGCTGAAGATTTTAAAGATGGACGATAACTTCGGGAAAACAAATCATTTTGTCATTTGATCTCTAAGGTATAAAACGTTTAATAGAAATCATTTACACTTGTGTTTTGCCAAAGTAAAAGTTAGAGTACGTTCTTTAAAGTTTATTTGTTTGTGATTCGGAGTTTATACATAAAATAATTGACTTCCCAAACCCGAATAAAAATAAAATTAAATGTTTGTTTTTCTACAGTATGTCTGAAACACGGGAAGTAAAATTTGCAGTATCTTAATTATTTATATGGTTGCAAGATCGGTAGAGATCTTCAGTTGAGGTTGAGGCAGTTTTTGGAGCTGGCCACGTTAAATTTTGTAAATTACGCCTTACGTTTTCAACTAATAACTTCATGAGACTGTTGGGGCAATTTAGCTGATGTAACATAATTTTTCTTCAGTCTTCTTTATTTAGTTTCAGGTGTTACTATAAAGTAAACTAGGTACAAATATATTAAAATATAAATAATATTTTAATCAACATTTGGAAAGTTATATTCCTTGGTTATATGTTTGCCAATTCACAAAATGCATTGCCAAACTTTTCTCATATTCTCGTCCAGCGGAAACTTATGTATGGAATTTTTTTGTGAATTATAATAGGATGAACATTGAGGAACACTGCCAAGTTTTTTAAAGTGGGAGTCATTGTATATTACAATATAAACCGGTCGCTAATATGTATACAAGATAATGACAATTATCTTTTTGAAATCTACCACCAGGCGTCGCCCACTTTGCGGTTCCTCGCCAATAAGTAGAAATAGGTTTCTGCAAGACAGAACTTGTAAAAAATATGTAGTGTAGCTAGACGATATCATTTAGAAGGGCATGTCACGTAGAAGGAAGTGGTGGTGATAGACAAGTGGGAGGCTGATAGGACACTGATATGCTAAGCGCATTCATTTACATTTCAAATTTCAGTCTATGTTTGCATGTTGATAATGTCACATCGAAGAACGCTAACCGAAGATGAGCTTGCGAACGTGTCCGAGAATGATAAGTGCATATCAAAAACAGAAAACAATACAAGTAGTGAGAGTGAAAAAGAAAATACTGATGATTTTGCTATTTCCTTCTACATACAACATCCTCTAGAACCTTCTGTAACAATTCCGTCAAAGGCGGTAATATCCAATGGTTACTCAATCCTACTTATCAACGCGGTCGTTTTTCCACGGCCAATGTCATAAATAATGCTCCAGGAGTTACAAGGTATGCATGTGCACGAATTTTCGATATCAAATATTCATTTGACGCACTCTTTTCTGACACAGTTGCAAACCAAATTATAAATATGACCAATATGGACGGACAGCGTGTTTTTGGAACCTACTGGAAAGATTTGGATAAAGTTAGTTTTCAAGCATACATTGGTCTTTTATTGTAAGCTGGAGTTTTTAAGTCCCATAGCGAATCAACTAAAAGTGTGTGGAATGAAGAAAACGAGTCGTAATGTATTTTGAGCAACAATATCCCTGGAATTATTTACAAAAATTTTGCAAGTATTACGTTTTGATAACACGACTACTAAACAAGATAGAAGTCATAGTGATTTACTATGATGGAAAAATGGGTAGAAAATCTAGCAACATTTGTTAACATTGATGAAAATGTTACCGTTGACGAGCATTTAGAGGCCACTGTTCCTTTAAACAGTACATTCCAAACAAACCAGCGAAATATGGTATAAAATTTGGGCTTTATGTGACAGTAAGAGTCCGTGCCGGAACGGAATCATGGAGTGCGTGTAGTGTATGATTGTGTAATGATTTGAGGGGACACAATATTTTTTGTGATAACTTTTTTACATCATAGAGTTAGGACAACTTTTTCTAAAGAGAAAAAGTTTAATGCTGAGAACTATAAGAAAAAATAGGCCAGAGCTTCCAGCACAAATTGCGAATAAAGAAGTTCATAGTTCGTCTTTTTACTTCACGCAAGATACACTGTTGTTAACTTTATTCCTAAAAAGAATAACAATGTTATTCTTGTAAGTACTTTACATCATGAAAAGACTGTTAGTGACAGAGATGACCAAAAAATTAGTTTAGATTACAATTTCAGTAAGGGAGCAATGGATAGTCTATATCAGCTTGTTGGTACAAATACATGTAATAAGAATACAAATCGCTGATCTATGATTGTTTTTTATAATAATCAGTTCAGTTTCCTCAACCATTTCTTCTGTTTCAGCAACTTTTTCATGATAGTTCTCAGCTTCATTGTCACTAGAACTGGTATTTGCCATAGTGCGGTCAATATCTTTATCTTGCTATCACCAACACTAGAATTTATTTCCTCATCTACATTTTCTCTCTAAAATACTAATAAAAAAGTTAAATTATACTAAAATATTCTTTTATTTTTTTTTGCTTACCGGGTAGAAAGTTGATAAGTTTAAATAGGTTTTCTCTTGACTTTTGACAGCAGAGTCTTCATTAACATTTTCTTCAAAAATTGCAGCTGGTTCCTGGGTGTTTATCAACAAATCAAGCGCATTTTCATTACTATCTAATTCCACAGTAACACTATCATTTATCTCTTCAATAATATTGCAATTTTGTACCTAAAACAAGGTAATGTAATAATGAATATGTTTTTAACGCTTTTTAGGACAAATTCCTTACTTGATGCTGTATAAAAATTTCTCTCGATGGAAATTCAGGTGTTGCAAGGAGAGCGGATGGATAGCCACTGCTGTTATTACTTTGGTCATTATATCCAACATTACCATCAATGTTAATTTCTTCTACTATATTATCCGTATTAAGGTTTTTAGTAGTACCCTAAAACAATTTGAAAAACTTTTTATATACCTATTATCAAAAGAGAATGCTACTAGTTTACTACAGCTAACCGGCTTACCTCTTTCTGAAAAGTAATTTCATTCACTATTTGGTTCAATGACTCATTTTCATCACTACTATTTAGTTCGCCAACTGCCAATAATGCCATTAGTTTACCTCTACCTATAGGCGACATTGTAATACTTGTAAAACTCACGAAAATACACAAAAAAACGGCACTAATATTGTTCTAAATAATTAAAAACATAAAGGTTAACAACTACATTCAAACTGACATAACCTAAAAGAAACGTGACAAAGGCTGGTCTAAAACTGAAATAATTTAACTTATTTCTTAACAGATGTCAGACAGCGCGTGACATTCATTTCAAAACAGAAACAACTACGTTATTTCTGTTTTGAACCGACATTGTTAAAAAAGATTTTAAAATCAAAACGGAAATACACTTTTTAAGTAAAGCTTATCAATGTATGATTTATTTCTCTTTTGAACTAGCTAGATTATCATCCTTGCATAAATTTTACGGAAATAACTTATTTCAACAAAATTTTGAGTTGTTTCTGTTTTGAACTGGGGTAGCGATATGATGGACATTTCTGCCTGAAACGCGTTTGTTTATTGGACATCAATAAATTCACAATGGAAGACCAACACCAACTCACAAAACGGCGAATTTTTTTTGAGGAATGGGGAAAAACACTGATGAAACCACTTTCTAGGAAAAATTTACCAAAAACTAAAGACTCGCAAGAACTGGTAAAAAGAATACGAACAGAAGCGAGTATAGAAGATGGAAATTCTGGTAAACCATCTATGGACAATCCAACTCCGCCTGTTAAAAGAGTAAATTTTGCTCTAAAAACGATAACAAGACTATTTTATGTTGTATATATTACAAACATATTTGTAATACCTGTTCTTTTATTTTCCCAGTGGTACACTAAATTAAATTGTGTAGGTAATTGTTCTTAAGCTTTTCTGGAAATGAAAAAAATGCCTTATATTTTTGTTAATGAGGTTTAAGTTACTTTACCAACATAATTTATATTATTTAATTAACTATAATTTTTTGTTAATAAAGTTTTGTTTAGCACCATTAGCTTATTTTAATATTGTTCTAAAGCTATTTTCTTGTGGCATTGTAAATTAATTACTATTTATAACTGGGAATGAGCCACAATTAAAGATAAAATACGTTTATTGACGTTTCAATTTCCAATTCGGAAATCGTTCTGGTAATTAAATTAGCTTATTTTACTTCGATTAAGGACCTTAAACCATAGTTGGATTATATTGACCCGAACAGTACATTTGCATAGTTGACTCGAACTATACAGCAGGGTTAAAAAATTTTAGTTTTTATAAACAATTATGTCAATCTATCTATCTATTAATCTATCTATCTACCTATCTATCTACTATTTTTTGTGATTTGCATTCATGAGTGGTTCTAATAATTTAAAATATCTTCATATAACCTGTTATTTAATAATAAAGTTAATGCATTATTCAGTTAAATGTCTATATTCCCATAATTATTGGATTAAAACCAAAACTGTAATTTATATTACATTTTTATTCAATTTTATTCGGAACGTATTTCTGCTGCATGAATTTTAACGTAACGGCATATCGATTTTAATTTAAATTTAATATGATATTGGATGGCTCTTAATTTATTACAGATTTTCCAAATGAAATTCGAGAATTTTAAATATATCAGATCACGATAAAACCAAATTGATTAACGCCAAGTTATTAACATGCAAACCATTAATCGAAATTGGAAACTACCGTGACAAGAATCATTGAGTTATTTAAACAACCCAATCAAGCGTACTGCTACAATCCATATATTTTCTTTAAATGATGTAATTTATTCGGATAGTTACAAAGTAGTTCTTAATTATTTGACTTACGAGCCATCATGATAAATTTAATAAGACTATGATTTTAGTTTTAAAAAAACTGTGAAGTAGACTGCAAAAAATCCGCGTAAAAACAAAAGAACAAGTTTTCAATATTGTTCCGAAGCTATTTCCTTGTGGCATTTTAAAGAAATTAATAATTTATTGCTAATACTGAAAAAGAAACAGCCTTTAAAGCCTACATACAAGAATCACCAAGAAAAAGAATACTATTTTATTGGGAATGAGCCACAATTAAAGAATTAAATAAGTATATTGACGTTTCAATTTCAACTAGGCATATTTTTAATTTATTTGTCCATGTATAAAACCACCGAGTTATTCGAATGATTTGTTTTTTTTTACAAATACTTTTTCTTCTTCCTCTTTATAAACAATTCTGCTTGTTTATTGGCGGATTAATACCTCTATGTATTAATTCTGTTATTATCTATTATTAAAAAGTTTGTAACATTTTTTTTATTATTAATATATCAAATCATTTTTAATTCCTTTAACCCCGTGCGATACGCCGATGATTAGGAATCCCCGTGTTTACGATAGGAAAATATTATTGTAGACACCAAGCTGAAATGGAATTCCCTAATTAAGAAAGGTTTTTAATCCTTCCGTCTTAATACTCTGTATGAAAAGAACAAATGCTTTCCGGTATGCAGTTTCTTTTTCATAAATTGGTAATTTTCGCCGAAGGCCCGTATCTTTTGACAATAATATAATCCTAAGGATTTTAATATTCTCAGGTCCAATTGTTAATACCGATTATTTTACCTCAAACTTTCCAATAGTCGTTAAGGCCTTACCTTCTGAGAAATACATACGACTGTCCGATGATTTTAAGTGGGGGATATACCTTCTTCTTCTTTTTTCTTGGATAGTTGGTGAAATTTTTAGGGAACCAACTTACTTCTCGGTGGGCTCTTGTTGAGTGAAGTGATATCTCGTGATGCGCTTTGCTCACGATATTTCTTATCTTATCGTCGCTGTGAATTATTTTCTAAGTGTGTGTACACTTCATATTTGAGTTTTCTTTCCTTAGACTATATTAAATTATATATAGTTCTACACTACCTTTAATGGTTATTAAATTCAGTGTTTAGTACCAGAAAAGTATTAAATTCAGTGAATTAAGCTGCCTTCGTCAAGATCTACTGTAAGTAATCTTTATCTACAATTATCTGGGCGAGTAATATGGTATGGTACCATATCACCTGCCATTATCTGGACGTATCATCTATATCTTCACCTGTAGATTGCCGATTTTTGAATGTAATTGAACCATTCAAGAAATTTCTATAAATATTACCTATGAACATACAAGTCTCAGTTTTTTATTAAATAATAGTGCGAGATAGTTAATTGACTTAACCAAGTGCGGTTTGGTTTATGTTTTCATTCCTGTAACCTTTTTGTTTTTTTTTTGTAAATTTAGAGTTAAGTAATTTTTGCTATCTTTTGTATTTCCTATAATTTTTGTTCATTATCTTTCCTATGATATCTCGAGATACGCCAAACTATATTTGTATATGATTGCCTTATATATCTTGGTAAAGGTATTTTTTTATTACATTATTGCTTAATTTTATACATATATAACACCATTTTCATAGTTGTGTATTTTTATTACCTGGGTTGCATTTAGCAGCATCATAATTTTGTGTTTAATATATTGTTATTGTTTTATGCATGTATTTTATTTGTCGGCTCCTAACAAGTTCCCTGATAAAATAATAGCTCTGAACAATTACTATCTTTAAATATTACTATGCTTTTGAACTGTAGAAAGATCAGGCTGATTAAGTTTCGTAGGTAAGTAAGTGTAATACTTAATATATTTATTATTTGTTTATATATTGCGTTGACCAGATTTATTTGATAATTTACTGTTGGTATCTTTCCTTTGGTTTGATCTCTGAACCTAAATATCTTTTCTTATCTCTTTTTTTTCTAAGGTTTTCTTAATTTTCTCCTTAACCCCAAAAAATTGAGTGGCGCCCTGTTTCTATCTTCTCTTATCTTTGGTAATTTTACCCATCTATCTTTTTGTTTATTTCTGTATCTTTTCTAATATCTCTTATCCTATCTTTACCTATTTCTTCCGTTGGATCCATTCCCGGTTCCAAAAGCTAGTTTAGAACCCACGACTCGCTCTCCACCAACCATCTGGCTGCCGTCCGCAGTGTCTCCTTTCCAGTGATAAAGACAGGTCCGATAATGCTAACTTCTAGAATACCACACGATACGTTTAACGTTTGAGGATGTTATATGTGAAATTTAGGGACAATATTTGGATCACTTTTATCATATTCTTCTTAAAATCATACATTTTTTATACAATTTTATACAATTTTGTATACAATTTTCTAGTTGTAGGTATCCAGTCTTTTATCCATGTATCCATTGCCCAGTGGTTATGTTTCTCCAGTCTATTCAGTTCCGAAAGCAGTGTTTTTTATCTTTTTTATTTATTTTTTGTTTTCTTTTTTTTGAATATTTTCAACATTTTTTATGTATTTTTTTTTTAAATTAATATTGTTTAGTATTTTTTTTTATTATTAAAATGCTTTTTTATCTTTTTTTTATATACCTGATTTTATTTACCTAATTTTTTTTATTTATTTTTTTTGTCTATTTTTTTTCCATTTAGGTACAAGTTTTGGTATACCTTGGTCTTTATAAACTATTGTTTCATATTATTTTTTTTAACTATTTACGTATTGATATAGCAGCTTATAAACTTCTAGTAACCCAAAATTTTTAATTAATGAACCAAGGTTTGGTAGTAATTTTCAGCTGAATACCTTTATAACGAAGTCCCTTAATGGAATGATCATATTTATTTATCCATTTCTGACTAATTGTATTTTTTGAAATAATATAAAGGTCTTCCGGAATTAATGAATCATTTACAAAAGTATCGGAATCTAATGCATCACTGGCAAGTATGTCTATTTTTTCATTATAGATGACCCCAGGATGATCTTTAACTTAAACAAACTTAACTGTTTTTCTTTCCTCATATTCTTCTTCCTCTTTTAAAGCTATTCTGTATGTTCATTGGCGGATTAATACCTCTATGAAAGGTTGTCACTCCATCTTTTGCGCGGTCGTCCGATACTTGTTCTGCCGATTGTTGACTTATCTCTTGCTATTTTGACGACACGGGTCTTCTTCATTCTGCTTATGTGGTTATTCCATTCGTTTTTTCTATTTTGGTTCCATTTATTTATACACTGTATGTTACATTTT